CCCCAAAACCCCAAAACCCCATCAATCAAATGACTAATTTTTTTTAGAATATAACTTAAAAATTAACTCAATCTAAAATATCAATGAAATTATTCTAACTCGTACTATATACTGTCTAATTCTATTGCTATCTCTATTACTACCTTCTCTATTTTCTTCTTTCAGCTCGAGTCATACTTTGCTGCTATTCAGGATTGTTTACTTATATTTCCATGATCTCATCATCATCGATATTATTAATTTGATTCCTTTAAGAGCTAGCTGAGGATTCAATGATAGTGTAATATTTAGCTACATCTACCAGGTGTTACTCTTTCTTTTTAGTTTTCTTGAAGTCTTTTCTCAACTAAGCAATCATGTCCAAGTTTTCAAAAGATAGACTCATAGATTAAGGATCATCATTCTTTACCTCTATCATTTTATTTGGTTCAATCTTATCATTTAAAATATATTGTCTCACTCCGATACTCACTGAGAGATCTGGATTGAGCTCACAAAACTCGATATCATTGCTATCAATAACTCTATCTTCTTAACTTCCAATGTTTATTTCTCTCTGAAGGACTTTAATGACTTCTGGCCTTGGCAAATTAATCAGGTTAAACTCCAAAGGATATATAAGATTTGCTTTCTCTAGAATCATAATCATAAACTTATCTACTGTTAGCTCATAAGTTGGTTTACAGCAAATTGGGCATATCCATTTCTTGCATTTCGAGTTTATCCAATAAAAACTCTCTGCCTCAAAGCATGAAAGATGATTACACTTCTCACCTCTAGCCGGCAGTTTTAGCCTTGATTGTGTTATTGGACATCTTAAATTTATACGTTCCTTTGAAAAATACTTGTTCTATGCCACTCTTAACTTTACCTTTTCATAGCTACTGAATATTGAGTCTACTTTATTTGTTCTGATATATCTAGAAATGTCAAAAATATTAATAAGTTTAGTTAGATAGAGAGCGCAAGAATATGTATGGCAATCATCAAATTTACAAATCTCTATAAAATTAGACCCTTCCTTGAGATAAGCAGAAACGTCAAAGATCTCTTCATCTCTAATTTCCCTTTCAAGACCTATACCTGCTAAAGTAATATTGTCTGTTGGATTAAGCTAAGTATTCATTTACTTAGGCAAAACAAATTCCCTGCCTCTTCTATAGTTAAAACTAAACCATCCTCTATTGGGCCATTGCTATTTAAAGTTCCCACTCTTTGCCTCTTCTAATGTTTTAAACCCATCTAATCGCACACACCTAACTTCAAGAAACAAAACTTCATGCTTTAAGAGCAAATATCTTTCAAACTCATGAGGTATATCGAACTCCTTTTTGCAAAACATCATCAATTTCTACTTCATTGCATTATTTCCAACAGTTTTCTATATCTTAAAAGGTCATACAAAAGTAAGAATTGGTAATCTTGATTGGTCAAGTTGTATGAGCTAGCAATGAGGACATAAATAAGGAGTTATTAAATGCCCTCTTTTGCTAACACACTTAAGATGCTATTTACTCTAGCACTTAGAACATTAAATCAAAGTGGTTCTATCTTGTCTATATTTATCTACCCAGCAGATGCATTAAATCTCAGGCAAGTCATCGTTATGGTCTGCAATAGTTGGAGTATACATGTCTTATATTATATCATTTAAAGTAATTTGATGCAATCTATCTTTAAAGTCCTCCGAGATTTTATACTTTGATTATTTCTCTTAAAGTACTAATTTTTGTAGTTACTTCTCATATTGCTTCATTTCTTATTATTTCTTTTTTTCATCATCATTCATGTAGTCTGAAATTTATACTTAATTTTAAAAGTCAGACTGTTAATAATAGTTATCTTAATTATCCATTTAGACTTGATGCTGCTCAATTTATTGAATCAAGTTCAATTATCTGTATTGATTTTCAAGACTTTTAGTATTGTTTTAATTGGTATGGTTATTTTAGCCAGGTTTAGCAAATGATAAATCTCCCAAGTCATCGTCATCTTAATTTTACTTTTAATCTTCTTCATCTTCAAGACAAATAAACTAACTCTATTTTTGACTATTAATAATTGGTTTTGGTTTTTATTATGCTTATTATGGCATCTATTGAGTCTATTGATTTATTTATCTAATACTGTTTCCTCTATTCCCTATTATTTATAGGCTTTCTTAGCACTATTGCCTGATAATTTCAGCTTAACTTAACTTCTACCTTTCCTCATATTCCCCATAGATAGCTTTCCAAGCTTCCCTATATAATGCTTAACAAACTAAATTTTTACATTGGCCATTTAATAAATGAAGTATCTTTGCCTTGCTATGTTGCAAGAAAATCACTAAGAGTAACAAGCACATGTTCCTTAGAAGTTTTGGTTGTGTATTTAATATAAACACCTACCCTGTGAGCTGCTTCAATTAGCTAGGGCATTGTACTATTTTTCAATTTCGATAAAATATCCAAAGGATTCATAATATGTTTTTTTTGCATCATCCTTTTTCTTGGTTAATAATCATCAAATTAATTTTGCATCTTAAATCAATTAAATTCTCAAAAGATTCAATTCAAATACTCACGGGGTTTTGGGGTTTTGGGG